TAAAAAAAAAAAAAAGAGTTTTGTAACAATATAAATGTCTTCACTGTCACTTTCGATCAATTTAATGCATCCTTGTATAATAAAAATATACTTTTTTCTTCAAATAAAATATTACTTTCACCAAACTTTAGTGTAATTTAAAAAGACAATAATAAAATGCTCTAGCTCTAAATTGTAATATGCTCCACTCATTAGTGCGCATTAGTGGTGAGGATTCTTAGTGATTATTTCTGACTGCATTATTACACCAGTAACTAGTGACAAGTCTAAGACAACTGTCTTTATGAGTCAATCATTGAATCATTCACTCAATCCTATTGGTTCAAAACACAGATTGATTCAGGCAGAGAACAAATAGACAACTATATTTTGGGGAATTATGCTGTCTCTCCAAGTAACCTTGTCGGTTTCTCTTCAAACAGATCAACTGCTCTTCATGTAGGACAGTGTTCATTGTTTACATCTATTAATTTTTTTTTTTTTACTCTTGGTGTGACTCCTGCATGAACAGAAGCAGTGGGAAATGACAACATGAAAAGAGAAAGAAAGAGGGCGTAAAACAGAGATACCCACAGGAGAAGTCAGACCGAGGGGAGAGATGGGACACATTGTGATGGTTTTGACTGACATTGCACAGAGGACGTTTCTCTTCCCAACAGCAGTGGTAAGCATTTCTTCATTAAGACTCCTACATGTGTCCCATAGCTGTAGTGTATTTAAATAAATATGCAAATTACTACATTTCTATTCAAAGGCTTCTTCTCACTTCAACAAGGTTTCGAAATAACCCAGGAGACACAATTCGTTCCATGTGAATAAAACCACCTGTCAGCAACTTGAAATTAACATGTAAAAAATGTTTGAAGTTCCCCACATATTTCAGATTTCTCTTCCTCAGATATGTGCCTGGCTTTAAAGGTTAACAAAATTATGTAATCGAAAAAGCAACGAGCCAGCAGAGCAGAAGGCTGATAAAGAAAGCGATGCTTTTTTATGCCAATGCTCCGTTTATGTCCTCCAGCACCTTATTGACTCATGTCCCAACCAGGAGGATGGGAGAATTTATCCATAAATAAATAAGATAGAGTCATGGCTCAATAAAACCACACAACACTTGTTCTCCAGAGGCCACAATTCAGGTACCCAAGCATTTCCTCTGATTGAATCAGTGCACTTGGCCTTCTCTTTTAGTTGTAGAGACAAATTTTTCCACGTGAGCCTTAAAGGCATCATGTTATTTGTTTCATTTCATTCACAAATCATAAGTAAACAAGATCCTGGAATGATTCCTGACGTCTAAAGGCATGTGCACACCGTTTATTTTGTACATCTCGATTGTTGTTTGTCAGACTGTATGCTGTGACCAAGGCCATCACTACAATTCATCGATGCTAGTAAGCTATACACTCTCAGAAAAAAATAAATAAATACAAATTATGTCACTCAGAACCATTTCAAAATGTACTAATATGTACTTTTAAAGTACTAATTCTAAAAAATAAATAAATAAAGTACTAATTATAACTAACTAAGTAATCATCTTTTTGTGTGTAATGTCTGGTTTATTTAAATAAATAATAATAATAATAGTTCCCTTTCATGGGAACTTCGAACTGCGTCCTCTAGGGGTCGCTATGGGGAACGCCTCGTCGTGACCAGTGTCTGAAGCATACATTGAGAATACTTATATTTTATTTCTGCTTTATATAAATGAACAAACAAATTGTAATAGTTTTTGTTAGCAATTTACAAACACTGCGATAAGCTTAAGTTATACTGAACTCGGAATATTCCTTTAACATTATATATCATTATATATATAATATAATAATATATACCACTATATATCATTATATATAGATCAGAACAGGAGTGAGAAATGAAAGTGCATTTGTGATAAATCAACAAGCAAAACTATCAATCAAGTGTCTATCATTCAAAACGTCTGACTTGCTAATTTGTGCAGATGCATCTCATTCATTCCAAAGTAATTATTATTTGAAATGGGGCTAAAATTATATTATCTAGCAGAGGAATAAGCAAGCATGTGTTATCAAAGATGTCTGCTTAGATTTAACTTAATCTGTCTCAGTAGGTAGTATGTCAGTACAACAAGGAGATTTTAAATTAAAATGCAAACAACACAACCATTACTGTACAGCTGATAAATAAAACTAAACAAAGAATAGGAGGAGCTCTCACAAACAAAACTTCCACCACACTTTATCAACTAGGTCTGATTGATGCATATTTATAAGTAGGGGGGCTTGAATGACCATTTTTCATAATTCATTTATATTGGAAAAACCAAGAAAAAAATATTTCAGAACAAATATTGGTAACACTTTATTTCGATAGTCCACTTTAGACATTATATTAACAGTAAGTAACTTTGCAACTACATGTCAACTAGCAGTTCGTAGAGTATTAGTAGACTGTCTGCTTAATATCTTCTAACACTTTCTTTGTCAACTTATTCTACTAACCCTAAACCTACCCTAACAGTCTACTCTGAGAGTTAGTAGACATCTAGTTGCAAATTAATGAGAATTAGTTGACATGTAGTTGACATGTAGTTACAAAGTTACTTATAGTTAATAGAATGTCTAAAGTGGACTATCGAAATAAAGTGTAACCCAAATATTTTGTCAACATCTAAATCAATAGCACACCCCTCTCTGTTTTTGAAATCCTTGTTTTTGATTAAACAATGTCATAAATTCACATCTACAGCATGTCATATAATAAGCACACATGTGCACATTGCTCATGTGACCTTATATCATGGATCATAAAGACAGCATAAAAATAACTAGAGTCTGACCTCTGGTATTCGGTGTATGGGTTCACCAGACCACATTGCATATATTCTCTCATTGCCAAACAAAACCGTTCCAAGGACAATAGTCTTGCTAAATAATTCATGCTCCCCTGAACCACCACAGAGTATTCGGCAACTTCACCATGCACTCGTTTCCTGCCAAGCGCTCTTGCTGAAGAGAAAACAGGCACGAAACATCTGCTAAGGCATCTGTTTGCAGGCCCCATCGTGCCCTGACTCCGCGGCCTGCTGTAAGCCCATGCTATCACTCCAGTAATGACACGTCCCAGTGATCCTGCACTGCAGAGAGCCAGGGTCAGCCAGGGCTGCACTGAGGTCTTCTGTCATGGGCAGCACTCTTAAATACAGTAGTTTTGGTTTCAGCACCACGGACAGCAGCGCTGATGCACATACTGTACACTGCTGACTTTCAGCACTATGGACAGCAAACAATACATGCTTCAGACTTACATGATGCTATAGTCATCAGTAGATGCTTAAATAGAGCACAACATTAAATCTAATTTATTTTAAACACTGTAGGACAAGGTGTTAGGGAAACATAGGGTGCTTCTCAAGCTGAAGGCTGCCTCCTAAGTCAGGGTGCATCCTTCCTAGTCCAGTCCTTCTGAGGCTTCAAGGCTACACTGTTAAAATATTAAGAATAGTAATACAATTTTTAAAAAAGGAAAATATACTGGTAATATTTTACCAGGACATTATCCAGTAATTTTTCGGACATTTCATTTAACCCTAAAGCACAACGCAATGAAGTACAAAATTCAAAATGCAAGAAAAACACCTGCAAAAAAATAAATATGGAAAATTCCCTTCCTTTTAATACAGTATTGTACCCTATTTTTACAGACTTTGTAGAGTCCCGCTCAGCATTAAACGCTACAATGAGATGGTCTAGTAAGTGCCCATGGATACAGTCATGGTAAGAAGAAAATACTATTCAAATTCTAATTTAACTAATATTTTATATGAAAAATATTTATATTAAGTGACTTTATTAATGTAGTAGAGGTAATGGCAACTGTCTATGATCTCCCAGGGGTTTACATTATGCACAATTTAACATTACATAATTAATTTACAACAAAACAAAAGAAAACATAATGCCATCAGACTGTAAACATAATGAAAACATAATGCCATCATCTCCAAAATAATTTTTTGTCTTGCATTACATAACAAAATTGAATGAGCTCAGTGCTGATTTATTTTCAACCAATTATTTTTTCGAGAATTAGAAAGTCTGCAAAGGACTATGGATAATAAAAGGATACAAAAGACACATCTTATGCATCCTGCAAAACAGGCTGAATGAAGGATGCGAAACCGAAGACTGCCTTCAAAGGATCCTTCAAATTGAGATGTCCTTGTGCAGTGCTGGTCTGGGGGGCCTTCAGGACAGGTTTAAAAAAACCCATGCTGTAGGACATTTGATTACAGAACCATAGACAGCAGCACACATACAGCTGAATCTCGGCACCATGGACAGCATACACTGTAGGCTTTATAATTGCATGATGCTACAGCAAATAGTAGATATTTAAATACAGCCAGCATAACTTCTTTAAACTGTAAGACATTTAATTTTAGCATCACGGACAGCTGCACACACATACAGTAGCTGACTTTCAGCACCATGGACAGAGCATAATATAAGTTTTAGACTTGCACGATGGAAAACTGCCATCAATGGATCCTTTTTTATTTTAATATGCATTCACTTTAAGTTAGTCTAGATTTCATAATGCAAGTTATGTTATTTTCTTTCATCATTAAAAATAATAGTCTGAAATGGAATGCGTTTAATAATGAGCGAAGAGGTAGTTTAAGTACGCAGGCATCATAGATGTCCAAAAGCAGTAATTATCTTCCTCTCACTCACTGTTGCCTAATGTGACTTCTTTTTTGTTGTGAAAATTATCAGCATAATTGCAAGCATTTGCCTTGAAAGTAAAGCCAAACCATCTGAGACCTAAAGATATGCTTTTTTTGTTTTATAATAATTATAATTACATTCATGTTCATCAAGTCATTGCAGAAACTCTTTTTATTTATTATTTTCTTTTTCTTTTCTCAATATAGGGAGTTTTTGATGAAAGTATAAAATGTTAATACAATCTTAATAAGGCTACAGTGCCCTGGTGTAAGCGCAGATACTTACCAGTACTGGCGTCTTCTCGAAAAAACGGGTTCCCACCTGGGTTCAGGGTTACCCCAAATGTCTTATTCCCAAATGGGGCATCACATGGATCCACATAGAGAAGACAGCCACCAAACCCCACCTCTGCCAGGAGAGAGAGCTGTGAAGAGATGACAGAGATGAAATACAAGACATACTACTGTTCAAAAGTTTGATGTCAGTAATTTTTTTTTAAAAAGTAGTCTCTTATGCTCAACATTTATTGGATCAAAGCTACAAAACGTTTTTAGACAGACAGACAGACAGAGAGACAGACAGACAGACTGTGTGAGTATCTGAGTGTGTTTGGCATAACAGCCGAGAGCCCTGGGCAGCTCTTCTCACGAGAGCTTTCAACAGCTCTGCCTAATTAGCCAAACCACCAGTGCCCGTGCCCCCTCAGATTTTTGAGCCAAGCGGATTTTGAATGCAGCTTCCAAAAGACAAAAAATAGCCAAATAATATTTTTTTTATATTTCATACACTCACACTGGCATTATTAGAACGTGCAGTTCTAATAATGCTGCTAAATTCAAATCATCGTTCGCGCTTTGGCTGGCGCTGAGCCAGACACGTTTTTACAGCTGCACATTGTAACGAAAACACACACGATTCTGTTAAGCTTATGAATGCAATGACCAATCAGAGGCGTTCAGATCAGCCATTGCGGAAATGTTTTATTCAGTGCACGCGTTCGCTGAAGGAATTCTGCTCTCTGATGATTCTCTCATCAGAAACAACAAAGTGCAGATATACATACGATGGAAGTATATTTATTTCACTGTGTAAACAGCTTCAGTGATTATGAGTTTTTGATAGTGCTTAAAATGTTCTTTGCTTTCTGTACAATGAAAGTGTTATAATTAGTAAATTACAATGTTTCAGATTAATTCATTAAATACAAAGTCAGTCATATTAAAAATATTTTATGGTATGACACCCATATCTGGTAGGCTACTTAAGTAAAAAGACGGGTTTTTATGCGTTGTTAATAGATTACACTATTAGGCTACTTTGCCCATTGGCCATTATCAACTAACATAATATATAAAGGTGCAAAATGCATCTACTTACACATATTTGAGAATCAAGATATTTTAAATAAAAAGGTAAAAATAAATAAAACATAAGCCTATATCAGTTATACTTATATACACTTATAAGTTATACGTTATAAGTTATACATATACACTTATACACTTATAGTTACACATATATATATATATACATATATATATATATATATATATATATGACTGTTGTGTGTCATGACAAGCATGACGAGCAACCCCCCCCCTTCACTCGTGCCCACTCCAAAAAAAACAGTGCATGACGCCCCTGGAGTATCTATCACAGCAACTTAACTTGTCATGGATGGAGGAAAATTAATGTCTCTTTTATATAGTTACAAAAACCACAATATATCACTATATACTTCAGTGAACTTGGTGTTTCATAGATTATTATTATTATTTTTTTTTTTTTGTGATGCTTGTGTATCCACTGTTAGCAGACAAATGAAAAACAAGCAAGAGTGAAAAGTGTGTCTAAAGACAGTTTATTTTCTAAAAGTCCACAGGGCCGAAAGTACCCATAGCTGAAAAAACACCCACATAAAAATCAATGATCTCAAAGTAGAGCAAATAATTCCCAACTTGACTGAATTTGAACTACACACTCACTTCTCCAGGGGTAAAGAATAAGGATGTTGCCGCCTTACATGGCAGTAGACATTTATATCATCTGAGTCACTGTTCAAAGGTCCCTGTTTGCCTTGAACATCTAGTCAACAATCTTGCTGCGACCACTAATGGCAGCGTATACCATATGCACAGCAGCACATAATTTATGCTGATGCTGCCAGTTATGTCAGCAGTTAGACTGTGTGTCAAACAGATGGGCACATTTGGTGTGAAGGCAAATGCACCACTGGATGTTGTGCAAATGAAACTCCCTAGCACCTGACATCCATATGAGAAGCCAACCAGAAGCCGCTCCCCATGCACAATAAAGATAAACAGACTTGTATTAGGCTTGGAAATCTTTTTCTTTTCAATACGGGAGTTGTTCACAGATAGCAATCAACACCTTGTAGGTATTTCGGTTGCTTGGAAGCGTCAGCCGGTGTTGCCACCGTGGATCAAGCCTCTTGCTAAATGCCAACAAGAGCCAACAACTTGTCCTTCAACGGGAATACAAAGGAGCACAACTAAACACACAGCTCTTGACATTTACTTACAGTCTCCAATACACACGCCGGCTCATAGAGGATGAGAGGAAATGCATCGCTTAGCCAATAATCTTCCTGCTACTAATTTTTAAATTACTTTTGTAGGAGTGCCGTTATTAAATGCACTGACATTAAATCTGCTCATGTTCATTTGTTCCATTATTGCTCTTCACAAATTTCATATGAAAATGAATCATTAATTACTTCAACCGAAACTAATTCTTAGAGATACTCAAAATCACATACAATAACGAATGGGATTTTTCTAACTTTTAAAGAACTAAAAGTTGAACAGCTACTACAATTTTCCAAGCATGACAGCAGTCTTATTTTCATATATATATTTATGCATTTTTTTTTGCACAAGTTATTGTTTAAAGCTGTTGGCCTATTTGGGATTTTTCATTCACTCAAAAACCCGCATTTTTATGTGCCAGAAAAGTGCTTGTCCTACTTATATCTACATGTACTTTCCAACCTTCCTTCAAGAGCTAATTTTGAGGGTGACATTAGCGTTATTTCAGAAAAAGACATTCTGTTCATATCTGTTGATTTACTCAGGGGAGACATTTACAAGAATACAGTAAATGTGTATACTCCTAAAATATTTTCCATTTCAGCACCTTCAGGGCAGGACAGGAACTGTCGTGCACCCTAGGGAAATCTGCTGGTGAAAGTAAGGAAAACAGAAAAGCAAATAGAACGACACCAACAGAACTGAGACAGCCACTTTGGAAAAAACTGTTCTCTGCTACATGTACCCTTGTTCATTATATTATGTTAATGACACACATACACTATCATTCAAAGAGAACAGCCTATTTAGATGCTACCCATGATTTTGAGACTATATTCTAAGGTTAAGGCTTGAATTGAATATTAAAAGGCTTTTGGAGTTACCTGAAATATTGTTATACTACGCTGTTTGTTATGAATGTTGCTTGCTGCCAAGCATAACATCATAAGCCATGACTCTTATTTTACTGTGAAGAGAGAGACACAAAAAAAGCCCATACACCTTTTAAAAAACCTATAAAAGTGTTTCTACCAAAACTGAGATGAATGCTGCAAGTCAAATTTGCTTTATTATCTTCATTTGGACTGTGTGAGAGCGAGCCATGCCAGCACAGGAATGTGCATGGTGACAGAGATGGTAGGATTAAGGTCTCGGATCAAGAGTGCCATCATTCTCTGAGCTAATTGTCTGAGGAGGAGCAGTCAAAACGCTTGATCCTCACAGACTGAGCATAAGCACTCACTTTAAAGAAAATCAATAACTTTTCCCAAACAAATGACACTGAGTGCCTGGTAATGAGGACTGAGGGCTAGAATTCCAATCAGGAGTCTAGTGCTCCCAAAGGTCACTATATTACCTGCATCAGTCATACCAATGGAATATATGCTGATGAAATGCACATGTGCAAACTCTTTCAGGAACTCTTTCATGAATTTTGTTGTTTAATTATATGGTCTGTAGGAGACAAGATACTGTAGCTAGTACTTTTCTCATGACCCAGTCATGGACACTTAAAGTATTGCATTTCTACACTAACAGAAGTCAACAGGAAATGACTGATGTAATATCAAAAGGCTTTTATCTGATTTCTGCTTCTAAATGTTCTTATTTGTGCATCCTTGAAGATTGAAGGCACATTTGTGAGTGATATTGTAGTGCTAGTTTTACTTTATCTTAGTGCTGCGTTCGACACAATAGATCATGACATACTCATAGATCGATTACAAAACTATACAGGTATGACAGCAACTTGTCTTTTGATAATCATATTTCCCATGTTACAAATCAGCATTCTTTCATCTTAGAAACATTGCCAAGTTACGAAATATGTTACCTGTTTCTGATGCAGAAAAGCTAGTTCATGCATTCATGACCATTGAGTACATCAGCAATGTGAAGACACTGTCCCAGATCTTACTGTGATGTAATCACAAAGCTACTGAATAGCTGAACTCTTATGAAATATGAAAACATGCTTCTACATTATAACCCATCTAGCTTTGTTTAATGATTTATTTATCATTTAGTAAAAGACATCCATTTCTTTGAGATTAAAAAGAATACATGCATGTTAAAGATGTTAGAAGGCAAATGTGACCTCTCTAATACTAAGGTACTACTTTTATTTTTGGTGGTGCTACCCTATGAAAGTAGCCTCTCTCCCATAATCTGACTGTCATCACTTACATTTATTAATTTAGCTGAAATCCACAACATTATCAATTATGTGAACTGAATAATTATCCCAAAAAAAAAAATTTGCGGAACATATACTCAACCTAAGGCCATCCAATATGTAGATGAATTTGTTTCATCATCACACCAGATAAAAAAAATAAATAAAATAGCATTACATCTCTTGCTCACCAACGGATCCTCTGCAGTGAATGGGTGCCATCATAATGAGGTTCCAAATATTGTGTATATTGTGCATATTTCTCTCCTGATTCAGATGAGAAGACTTTTTCCACTGGAGAAAGCAATATTTTCAAGGCGCTAACTGATTAACTGAAACCGTGTGAATTACTTGGATTATTGTGAAATTTTTATCAGTTTTTTATACTCCCATTCTGACAGCACCCATTCAACGCAGAGGATCCATTGGTGAACAAGTAATTTCTCACTATCATTTCTCAAAGTTTCTTTGAAGTTTCTCAAAATAATTTCTGATGAACAAACAAACTCATCATCATATTGCATGGCCTGAGGGTGAGTACATTTTCCTTAAAAAAAAAAAAAAAAAAAGAAGCCTTTTCTGAATAAAAAAAACTAATCAAAAACTGCATGTGTTATAGTTTTTACAGTTTTTTTGCTGAATAATCAAAAAGGTACACTCTTCTTTGAATAAAATATCCCAAAATAAATAAATACATAAAAAAGTGATACTGCTTTGCAGCAGCAATACGAAAATACAGTAAGTGTTTGCACAAAGTGAAATTCTTGTCATGTACTCACCCTCATGGCAATCCAAACCCATATGACTTTATTAACCAAGAAACACAAGGATTAGGGATGAGAGGATGGTGATTGGAACTGAAGCTCCAAAAAGCACATAAACTACCATAATTAACTCATCTGTGCAACGTGTTCCAAGTCATTTAATTGATTTGTGTCTAAAATAGGATGAAATTCAAATCTGTATTCACTCAATGTTTAAATTTAAATTCTGGCACACACTATATGCAACAATGTGTTTGCACAATGTGCAATAGTGTGTGTGCACTCAACACCAAATAAGCACATGAAAGCAGGGAAGAAATGAAACTATACACAAACCACATTGGTCCTTGCATGTATAATCAACACAGAATGAAAATTAATGAGATCTGAGAACAAGACATTTACGAAACCTACTTTGAGAATCCCTGCTTGAATGCGCAGTAATCATGTATTAGGTTTGAAAATGATTCAAACATTCTAGAGATACTATGAAAAACAAAGACAACAAAACCAACAGGTGTCTTTCCTCAAGTCACCAAATTATAGGATATCAACTGTGCTTTACCCACTAATAAATACCAATTACAATGATCATATTACTCTAATGAAAATATTACTCTAATGACACAAAAACCTAAGTTTGAAGTAATTATCTTGATCAAGGTTTGCAGAGATGGTTTACATTGGTAAAATATATGACTTGAGCTGTACCATAATTGTTATGCATTAATCACATATAATGATTTCCCAAACAGCTGCCAGTGACTTAATTAGATGAAATAACTTGCTTAAAACTCTTGTCATGATTAAATGCAACTTTAATAATCACGGTTATTTGTTGGTCTAATGAGACTCTTTGAAGGGATAAAATGCATCCACTTACAATTTTGATTGTATTAATCATTTAAGTTAATTCCTTTGCCCTTAACAGTTCAGTGATTCTTTTGTCAGATAGATAAATAGCTGGGTAAAAAATATAGATATCTCGATATTAATCGATTCTCATTTTTACGGAACGATATTGATTCTTAAATCCCAAGAATTGATTAGTCTAGCCTGTTTTCAGTTAATGGACGGAACACTGAAGGGCACTTCCCATCCAATAAATTGCAATAAGCATTGTACTTTGGTACTTTTAATATGAAACAAAGTCTCAGATTTTAAATTATGTCCATTGTATTGCAGTATTTAAACAATAAATGCCGTTTTGGCGCTGTTTAATGTGGAGTGACAGATCGCTGTAGCGCCTCAGTTCAACAGACGCAGCAGCGCGAGGCGCACGTGAACTGATCAGCTCCTCCACATTAATACCAGTTTCAGCACAAAATAAACATGACTAAACATCCAAAGGTAAGTTAAAAGAAAGAGTACAACTTTACAATCCGTATCCTGTCTCTTGTAATCGCTCAATCATTGTTTCAGCCGCGTCAATATAACGGCTTGTAAACAATGTCACGTAACATCACATTTACCGGAGAAAAACATATTCGGTGACCATAAACTCATTAATCAGATAGAAAAATAAACTGTAGAGAGGGGCATTTTGCTAAATATATGCACCATATAACATATTCATTAAAAACTGTTCTTCGATGTTTAATTTATGTTTGAATAAATCCATCAAGTTTTTATGACAGCCACCATTGTTTATATATATAAAAAAATGAATGGAAGTAGAAATATTATGTAATTGTAACTTTATTATTTTAAAACTTCATTAAGTGTAATTTTAACAAATCAGTTCGTTTTAACCTTCAATATTATAGTAATGTAGTACCAACTGACTCTCATGTATATTTTAGTTGAGAGATTTTTTTTCCTTGAGAAAATGTGGCATGTGCTGTACCTGATATATATCCAAAATAATCAATATGGAATCGAATCGAATTGAATTGTGAATCGAATCGCAAGCTTGTGAATGAGAATCGAATCGTGAAATTTGTGTCAAAACCCAGCCCTATAAA